TACATTTCTTTTTTTGTCCAGTTGTCATAGCGCTGTCTCTTATACACATCTAGATGTGTATAAGAGACAGATCCTGGGGTGGCGGAAGGGGAACAGCAGGTGTGAAATCATTTGGGTGCGTGGGCACAAAGAGAAAGAGCCATCACCATGGTTCTAATCCAACTCTGGACTTCAAGCAGTCCCCACCTCATCGGACCATAGGTCTTGTCACCCGCGGTCAATAGGTACCCAATTGCTACTCTCCCCCTCTCCTGTCAAGGTTAATCTAACTAAAACAATTCCGGGCCGCCCACCCGAGTGGTTAAACATTGTTTGCAACAGTGGTTGTTAACGTCATCAACAACCATCATTCCAAAGTAGCCCAGCCAAAAATTATATAACGTTGCAGTTTGGTTTTCAAATGTGTGTTTACAGAACTACATGTACGTTAACGTAATTTTGGACTAAATAACTTTGCGTCGATGTTTATTGTCTGACAAAACCTGATCAAAAAATGTTCACTCCAATGTTAAGTGTCTGCGCAAATTGAAATGTTTGTAGCACATGCTGCTAAACACATTATATTTGTATGATCCTGCTAAATGCCACATAACTATCACTGTATCCTTGAGTAATACATTCGAAACTATTACTTCTTCTTAAGTGAGATATACATCCCCTACAATGACATCCAATCTCCACAAAAAAAAGAGAAAAAAACAAATGTCGAACACTGACATTTTCTTAGACATTAACATTTATTAGTACGAAATTCTCTGCAGATCCTGATGCCTTTGCAGCTCACAAGTGCCTACTGCATTGGCGCTAAAAGTAGTGAAAAATAGTCTACTCTTAAGAAAATTGTAAAAAGAAATGCAGGCGTCCTCATGCTGAGTATGGGCATAAGAGTCTAAAAAATAGTAATATGGATTAAAGTATATTACTGTACTTTTCATATTACGTCTCCAATTTGCATTTTCTTGCGTTTATATGTATATAAAAAAAAACAAAAACGAAAAACTCGAAAATAAGATGTATTAAAATCTTGGCAAATAAATTATATATATACAT